AATTTCCTAATGTACACTATCTAAAGAATCATGTTTAATACATATGTACAATTTATAAAACAGCATTTGACAAAAAAAAAAAAACATGTAAATATCTAAAATGTCATATGCCTAAAAAACATGTGCAATATCTAAAGAATCATGCTCCAAAAATATGTCTAATATATAAAAGTCATATGTTCCTTTTATAAAAACAAGGAAAAATTGAAGTTGCACACTTTATACTTAATCTGTCTGATACAAAGGTAAGTTAAACACTTCATAGTAGAGTAATGGTTAGAAAGCTAGTCTAGAAGTCTATTACAGTTATGTAGTAGGTTTGAATCTCATAGGGGCTCAGAAATTGTGACCTTGTGTCAGACACAGCAATGCTTAGTATTTAGAGTTATTTAAATTTTAAGTACTACAAATATAGTCAAAATTAACAAAGTGTTTAGGCAGTTTAAAAGTGCTTAAAAAAGTGGACACTATATATGTGTATATAAGAATCCTTTTTTTTTCTTTAAAATTTGGTCAAAAATATTGCCTGTGTCTTATCTGGAAAGTTGGGGTTAATGTGTCCATGGTGATGATTTTATATACTATCAGATATGGTATCTTGACTTGAAAATTTAAGCTTGACTTTAAATAACATATATTGTCAGTTGGCAAGAAGAATTAGCTTACAAAGGGAATGAATAATTTTGTATTTTGTTTCTAATTAGTTCAGAATCAACCTGTCCAAAACAAAACCCATTTTGTGTAATTATATACTGATTAAAAGAGAATGACTATTTGAATTAAATGCAATGACAGTGAAATCGTCATAAGAAATATAGTTATGTCATCATTTGAAGGGAATAACAAACATTTATTTTAAGGAAGAAAGTTGATAAAAAAAGCCTTATATTATGTATGGAAAAAGGAGGCTTTAGAAATTGGTAGCTGAATTCCTGAAAACAGCAGTTAATTGTTAAACCAACTGTCAGATCATTATTTTCAACACTAGTCTGATTGGGTTCAATTTAGAAGAAAAGAAAAAAATGAATGCTAACAAAGATGGTTAGCATGAGAAATTGTTTTAGTGAATCTCTCATCAATGTAGTTGTGATAAAATCTGTTCAAGTTATCTCCCCTCTTTATTGTAACTCTTCTACACTTATAGCTATAAGAGGCATCTACACAATGGCCATGTTGTAGCTCAATAAAGCTTCAGTAAACACTATTACAACTGTTGGTTGTTGTTCATTACAATACTACATATGTTAGTTAAGTAATTTCTGAACATTTATTATTCCTCTTTTTCCCTATTCTGCCATCTAAGTTATTCACTGTTTCTCCATGTCACTCTTGTGTGTGCTTGGCTTTCTTTCCTCATTATGTGTTTCAAAAATTTAAACTTCTTCTTTCTCATTGTAAGTTTACTTCTTCCTATTTTCATTAAAACTTCCTCATTGCTCACATGTTCTGATCATGGTATTCTTAGTATTCATCTCTGTCACTTTTCATTTGTATTAAGGAAAATATCCAGTATTTACTGCCATATAAGAAGATAGATATAAGAGTTCAGCACTCTTTTCTTTCTTTGGAATAAAATTTTCTTATCTCTTAATACTTTGCTTAGTCTCTGGAAGGCATCTTTCACTGTTTCTATATACCTTTCAGTTTCTGTGTTATACTTTCTGTCCCAGATAGTTAAATTTCTGTATCAGTGTGTTTTTGATGTCTCCAGTATGTAGCTTATATATTGGATTGTTGCTTTTGTTGATAAGCATGCATTCTGTCTTCTTACAGTTAACAGTTATTCCTTTCTTCATGCTTTCCGTTACTACTTTTTCTAATAGTTCTTTCAGTTTCTTTTTCAAGACTGTCATCTGTTTATCTTATGTTAAGATTATGTTCGCTGATAATTATAATATTTAGATGGCAAATCTATTATGGCTTCTCAATAATGCATATACATATATATATATGCGCATTTTTCAATTCTCTCTTATTCTCCTTCTAAACATACACATATATATCTATCAAATAGTACACAACGAGTTCTGGTGGTAATAATAAAAACAGTGCTTAATGTAAAATAACAGAACTAAAATCTATACAAAGAACAAATATACTTTATATATATATATATATATATATATATATATATATATGTATAATTATTTATTCGAAAATTATAACATAAATATGTCATAAAATCACTACAAAAATACCCATTTTGTTTCAACACTTCAGTGTCTTATCAAAAACCCTTTTCAAAACCCTTTATTCTACATTCAACACCATCATTTGATAAAACACCAGAAATGTTGAAACAAAATGGCTATTTTTTTTGATTTTATAACATAAAACATTATAACATATAACATGTTATAATTTTCAAATAAATAATTATATTTGCTCTACTACATATTGAACACTCTTTTAAGAATAGTATTTTTTTAAATTGGAATTTATTCCGTATACACCAATCCTATACTTGTATATATATATATATATATATATATATATATAT